TAATCAACAAAGCTCTGCTTTTCAAGAGCCGGTGTGTTAGCTCGGTGTGAGCCTTCGAAATCAAAACTTCTGAACCTGCAAGACTGGTGATCCCTTCGGGCACGCTGTGGCACACCAGTGTTTCCTGCAGCAGCCGCTGTGTCATCTTCTGTACTTGCCCACTTTCCAGAAGCACAGTGGCTTCGGGTGTCTTGTCCCTTGGCGCTGTGCTAGTGTTACTTTTCGGCCTTTTTTGTCTGCATGCTGTCCTACACCAGATTTTTTTTTACCATTCACAACTAAAAAACTTCTTCTGCATAAACTGAAGAACAGTTTTACAAGGCTCCGTAGGAGTAACAGGCCTGTTCTAGAAAAATCCAGAACCTCTCGTTTTTAGGCAGAGTGGGTTTGACCCCAGCCTGGAGGCTCCTGTGTCCTGCCAGCAGGAGCTGGCTGCCACCTGGTTTCGGAGCCCTGCCCCAAATTTTGCCAGAACTCATTTTAAAGACAGGAGCGGTAAGCATTTATTGTTCATCCAGCCAGTAACTTTTCCTTCCCTGTCATTTCTTTGCCGGCTACAGGCAGAACCATCCCCGGGGTAACACCGCATTTCAGTGGGCAGCGGCGTCTCAAACACCCAGCGACTGGGTGCAGGTCACTCTGCAGACCCTGCACACCGAACACGCTCAGCCTGACAGCATGAACCTGCTCTTGTGAAGTCAACACAGATAAAAGTCAACAGGAGCTACTGGAGAGAGTCCAGCAGAGGGCTACGAGGATGATGAGGGGACTGGAGCATCTCTCCTGCGAGGAGAGGCTGAGGGAGCTGGGCTTGTTCAGCCTGGAGAAGGCTGAGAGAGGACCTAATAAATGCTTATAAATCTCTGAAGGATGAGAGGATGTGTCAGGAGGATGGGGCCAAACTCTTTTCAGTGGTGCCCAGTGACAGGACAAGGGGCAATGGGCACAAACTGAAGCAGAGGAAGTTCCATCTGAACATGAGGAAGAACTTCTTCCCTCTGAGGGTGACGGAGCCCTGCAACAGGCTGCCCAGGGAGGTTGTGGAGTCTCCTTCTCTGAGAAGCCACGAGGCTGAGCATGAGCGTGCTCGGCGCACCCAGGGCAGACCCCCAAGGGGTCCCCGCAGGCCAGCAAGCATCGACCAGCTGGCCGAGGGTCCACCCTGCCGCTTCCTGCAGCAGGTCCCCGCTGCTACCAAACACCGGTCCTCTGGATCACGGTCACCTCAACCCCGCGCCCAAGGGTTTCAACTGAGGTGCGCAGATCACTGCGGCTTCAGGACAAGCCAGACAAGAACCCTTTTCATTTTCTTTCCGAGGTCAAAGAGATCGATCCTCTTCCGCCTGAATTCTGCAATGAAAGCCGGGTGTAAGCAGCACTTGTGCTGCTCAGTGCTGCTATGAGTTGATGCTCTTACGTGGTTTTCCCCTCATCTGTGAGAAAAACGGGTTACATAGAGGAAAGCTATACGATGACCACGGCGCTCTGCGTCATCCACCTGCCGCCTTGGTCACAGAGACTGCCGAGGAACCTGTAGGGCCGGTCTGCAGCCAAGGACGGGAAGAAATTCACTTAGCTCATTGCAGAAACCGCTGCAGATTAACACCAGGCTGGCCTTCCAGCGCAGCCGCCGTGCCCCGTGTCCTTCAGTGGTGGGTAGCCACCTCCCCGATGGAGAGGGCTATCCCTCGCACTGCAAAGCACATTTCCATACCGAACCAAACCGCATCCCACCGGCTGCTGAAATTTCAGTCATTAGCCTATTTCAGGAAAACAATCATCAGCTCAGCGCACCCTTTCTTCTCTAGCCTGTGTGAAGGTCTTCTTTGCCTTTAGTTCTAGGTCATTGGTTTTCACAGCACTTGAAACTTTAATTTTTTTTTAATTCAGGTAGACAGCTCAGAAGCACTTCTCTTCCAGTTTCTTGAATTCATATACGTCAGAAATTTTTTTTACCTATCATGAAACTCTCTGAAGCGTTGCTGACTCCTGGGCACATTTCCACAGGCAGGTGCGAACAGTGCTGAGCCTGCCAGCTTGAAGCTGGTAAAATATAAGCCAGTCATGTGGGAAACAGCACGGAGTCAGAGCTAAATAGCTCTCTTCTGGAAACTAGTTGCTTCATAACACACCTTTGAAAGGTTGTTTGAGGTTTCTGTTTGCACTTGTTAGGAAGATGCTGCCCTCCACTCACAGCTTCAAGCCCAAGCAGCATTATCAGAAGAAATACCGGCACGGTCGTTACTGGCAAAGCCGATCCTGGCTTGACATCGCCAAAATTTCCTGGGAGCGTGGCCTCAACCAGGGCAGGACCAGAAACTTGGCTTTAAGGACCGGAGACCTTCCAGGAGGGCAAGAACCGAAGGTGTCCCCAGGGCTGCCGCAGGCAGCGTCGGAACCCCAGCTGCCGAGTCGACACCAAGTCATGTCCATGAGGACAAGAGGGCAGCGACTGCCGGAGAGGGAATCTGCTTCACAGAGGCTGAACCTGTTGGAAGCTGATGCCTTTGGTGACTTAAAGTGACTGCCGTTCCCCTGCAGGACTATCATCACAGGATTCGCTATTGGCATCTACCAGACACAACAGGTTGTTGTGATCCACAAAACTACCAGTAAAGCCATTATTGTTAAAATTGCTAGTAATGCTACGTCCTAACCCAATTTACATGTCTCATTGTAGTTTAGAGTAACTGCAGTGCTACCAACCCATGTTCTTTAATCTGTATTAGAATAGGTCCTTTTCTGAAGGTCTTTTTAAAATGTAGATCTCATGTGCAGCGTAAATACCAATGATAACTAATCAATAAGTGACTCTTGTAAATTAAAATGATACTGGAAGTATCAAAACTTATTTCTCTTGTACTTTATGTATAATTGTGGGATTTACAACATACTGATGTTTTAGAGATTATACGTGTGTGTGCTATACGTATTTATTACATGTATTACACATATTCACTTTTTTTCTGTTTTTCTGTGTGTTTCTTGAAGGTGGGGAATATCTGAATCTGAGGAGGAGTCTGTTGGAGATGAAGCAGATGACGGGTATTTCGCTACTGCTCCTTCCCTTAGACATGGCTATCCCAAACCAAACAAAAAGCAGAAAGGAAGAGTTACCAGGACCTACAACAGTGTCTTCACACATGTACTCTTGGTTTTATCTGGCTTTTCAAATCCCTCGCTAACCGTCCCAGGCTTCATTCACACAGTGGCTCAAACACAGCACAAATAATCCCGACTCCTTTGTGGTGGCTCTATGGCAGAAAATTTTTTTTCCAGCAAGAATCCAGGCAGCGCTTTGCCATCACCAGCCCCTGGGCGAGGAGGACCCAACGTCGTAACTGGTCTCCACGTTGCCACCGTCTACCCGTATGGCAGCACCGAACCCCACACGCTTGGCTAACGGTCGTCCCTGGGCAGTTTACCCAGCGTACGACTGAACTTTGCTGTGGACGCAGAGGCGGCCAAGGTGACTTTTTGCAAAAGCAGCTCGCATCAGGCAGAGTTTTTAAATTCATACGCCATGCAACTTGCACACCCCCCGTTCCTCCCATGGCCCACCTGGATCCAGAAGCAATCCAGGCTTTCACACGACAGCGGACCTGCCAATCAACCGGTGGTGTCTCCAGCACGAGGGCGAAGTGCCCCGGGAATGTTTAGCCTCATTTCCTCGGCTGTCGGAGCTAAACTCTAGCAGTAGCTCTAGCCCAAACACCTCACCTGAGCATACAACCTCTGCGCGTGGGGCCTGTAGGCTCCCACTGGCATTTCTGGTGTTTAAGGAAAAAACAGACCGAGAATGATCCACAAGACTTATTTTCTGGGGAATTTATCCCATACTATTTTATTCAAAAAACACTGACTACTTTTCATTGACCTAATGACTGAAAAGATTCTTAAGGTGTCTCAGCAACTGCTTCCTTGATGGACGATATACCTGGAAGGTTATGACACATTTAAGGCATTTTTCATAGGCATAGCTTGTTTTTAAATTTCAGGTTATATCAAATTAGAAATCTCTTGTCAGTCTCTTAACCCATTAACTTCTCGATTTCTGGAAGTGTAGCATCTTTCAGCCA